GCTGCTGCAGAGATGTGTTAAAACCGTAGCTCAAGGGTAGATGGATCCGAAGGGCTTGGCCTCAGCTGGTGCGCTGTGCCCCTTACCCGAGTACGTGCCCTTAATTTCAGAATGAAGTCCAGATGGAATCCGACGAAGTCCGAAGGACTTCCGGAGGCTGGCTACTCTAGTAGAGTGCTAGAGGACTTCCGGATGAGTGCAAGAAACTTCTGGAGGAGTATAGGAAACTCCAGAGGAGTTTCATCCACTGTATCAGATCCGAAGGTAAGACTTCCCAAGGTAAGTTCCCTAGATAGAAACATATAGAGGATAGGCTGCAAGGGACAGAGTCCAAAGCAGGATAGGATAGGAGGAGTGGTCCGAAGGACAGGATGTCCGGAGGTCCGAAGGTTAAGACGTCCGAAGGTTGCCTCGTCCGAAGGTTACGATGTCCGAAGGTCCGAAGGTTTATGAGGACCGGAGGAGTGGACAGGATTGGGACAGGAGGGGAAAGGCTACTATGGACAAGGTCTGGAGTAGAAACAAACAGAGGTAGACTACACTATGGTAGAGTTGGATAGACGGGGTTTAGACAGAAGTCTCGGAAAGACAGGAAGTGCCGGAAAGGCAAAACTTCGGTCTAGGGAATCAATCCCTAGACTTCAGAACTGAGACATAGGGGACAAATATGAAGGTCTGGATTTCTGGCCTAGGGAATCCATCCCTAGGCCTTGATGGAAAGGCAGAACTCAGATGGACCAAAGTCCGAGACAAGAATGAGTGAAGTCTAATGTGATAGAGCAAAGTCTAAGATGCGAGAGAGCAAGTCTATGTTGATATTCGAACTAAGGAAACTTTACAGGAGTTGTACAGATCTTTATATACTGGAAGGGATCCGAGAGGATCGGTAAGCTGAACACAAATGCTATGTACGAGCATGTGGAAACATATTAGTAAGTATGAATGGAACATAAGTGAATGAACTCGGATATGAACAGAGTACAAGGATCAATAAGCAAGACAGAAACAGAGATAACCGATGAAGGATCTTCAACTCAGCTGAGGGTGCAGCTGATATAATTGTTGAAGGGAGGAAAATATGAGTGCGATATGTTCGTCCCTTAGGGGAAGCGGAGAAAGCAAATATCCACTGGTCAACTCTAGGGGGAATGCGCAAAGCGCGTGATAAGGCGAAAGCGCGGGAACGAAGGCGCTATAGGCGCGCGAAGCGCGGGAAAGTCGCGCGTCGAAAAGCGGAACTGGGTGAAAGCGGTATGCGAGCGATAGTGAGATGTTAAGACGTGTACTGAGATGCTGATAAGACAACTGATGCGGATATGGCCACTAGAGCTAACTGCTACTAGGGCTTGCGATGATTTATTCAAAACATAATAAAAACTCGGAGATGGTGACTGTCTATGATGATGGTCGTCCGTGGTAATGTGTGTTGTGTTAAGTAAAAAAAAAATGTGTCATGAAAAATGTGTACCAAGTGAAAATAAACATGGTACGATGTTGAAATAAATGATAAATGGAGAAATGCATACCTGGGAACTTGGTTGGACATGGGAAAACACAGTGGGAAGTCAGGCGCCCTATAGCGCTTAGGCGCGGGAAAATTCGCCTAAAGTGCGCGCAAGTCGCGCAAGTGTCACCTATGTCGCGGAAGTGTCACCTAAGTCGCGCGCGTCGCGCGAACGTCGCGTTTATCGCGCTAGTGTCGCGTTGCATGCATAGTATTGTAGACTCGACCTACAGTGCAATATATGCCATTGTGAGGCTACTCAGGATCGAGTCTCTACACCGGATCTTCGGATCTGTACCCAGACATATGGTATATGACAGGTCCTATTTATCTAACTACGTGAGTGTCCGGAATCGCATAGGCAAGAGTAGTAGCGAGACGCGAAGTATTTGGGTTAGCATGTAATAAAACTTGTGGTTGCTGTGGCCATGGGAATACATGTAATAATGCCTGCTGCTCATTCAGTAACAGTAAGATAAGCTTAAAAATGCACCAATGGAGATAGGTGGACATGGGCAGGACATGGGAGGACTTGGTACCGATGGGACAGGATGCTCAGCCAAGGTGCAATATGACTGAGACAGCAGGTAACAGTACATAAGCTGAGGCCAAGCCCCTCAGACTCAGTCTCTCTCTACTTAAGCAACCTGGGTCTTAACAAATTACTAGATTATAAACAGATAGAATAAAGTCCATATAAAAGGAGTATAACAGTACTGTCAATTGGCAATAGGTATGACTTTGACAATATAGGTGCAAAATTAAAATTAAATGATACTAAGATAGACCTCACTCATACACCGGTTGTTAAGACCGTAGCTCAAGGGTAGACGGATCCGAAGGGCTTGGCCTCAGCTCGTGCGCTGTGCCCCTTACCTGAGTACGTGCCCTTAATTTCAGAATGAAGTCCAGATGGAATCCGACGAAGTCCGAAGGACTTCCGGAGGCTGGCTACTCTGGTTGAGTGCTGGAGGACTTCCGGATGAGCGCGGGAAACTTTCGGATGAGTATAGGAAACTCTGGAAGAGTTTCACCCGCTGCATTAGATCCGAAGGTAAGCTCCCTAGATGGAAACACATAGAAGATAGGCTGCAAGGGACCGAGTCCAAAGCAGGATAGGGTAGGAGGAGTGGTCCGAAGGACAGGACGTCCGGAGGTCCGAAGGTTAAGACGTCCGAAGGTTGCGTCGTCCGAAGGTTGCGACGTCCGAAGGTTGCGACGTCCGAAGGTTACGACGTCTGGAGGACCGGAGGAGCGGACAGGATTCTAGGACAAGAGAAGAAGGGCTACAACGGACAAGGTCCGGAGTAGAAACAGACAGAGGTAGACTACACTATGGTAGAGTCGGATAGACGGGGTTTAGACAGAAGTCTCGGAAAGACAGGAAGTGCCGGAAAGGCAAAGCTTCGGCTTAGGGAGTCAATCCCTAAGCATGGATATAGACGGAAGGATAAATCCGGAGGACCGGAAGGTTGGCCTAGGGAATCCTTCCCTAGGCCTAAGGAAAGGCAATACTAAGATGGACCGAAGTCCGAGATCAGAATGAGTGAAGTCTAGGATGCGAGAGAGCAAGTCTATGTTGAGCAGAATCTAAGATGATATTCGAACTAAGGAAACTTTACAGGAGTTGTACAGAGGTTTATATACTGGACGGGATCCGAGAGGATCAGTAAGCTGAAGACAAATGCTATGTACGAGCATGTGGAAACATATTGGTAAGTATGAACGGAACATAAACAAATGAACTCAGAGATGAACAAAGTACAAGGATCAATAAGCAAGACGGAAACACAGATAACCGAAGTCCGGAGTCAAGAGGATTACCATAAGGAGATAGACGCTGATTTAAGGTTTGAGCTTCGGATATGAGTATAGGTCGGATCCGGAGGTCTAGAGATATCGGATGAGGCATCTGGATATCGGATGAGCGGATCCGGAGATCTAGGTGAAGACGAGACTAGGATATAGATCATGGATATCATCCGGTAGTCTAGGGAAGGTAAAGTCTCAGGTAGGATGAGCTCGGATCCGATGGGATCAAGGGTGGATGAAGCAGGCTTAGCTGCGGAGGTCCGAAGGTATGGATATATGGATGTACGAAGGTGTACGGATCCGAACTGATAGTGGACTGGAGGACTGCAGGCATGGATAAAGGTATGGAGTCATGGATAAGGGTATGGAGGTCCGGATGTGCATCCGGAAGGCGTCCGGAAGGCGTGGGAACATCATCGGACGTAGGTCCAGAATACGGGATATGACACCGGTTCATCACGTGCCATAGTGTGACATTTCAACAAAATTGCATATAAGTCATTGTATACAAAATGTGAGCAAAATCTGTTCCAAGATTATGTGCAGATAGTCTGCAGCAAGCTGGGCATATAATTTTTATAATCTAATGTAGGAAACTGAGAGACAAGTAGGTATTATGTTGTCGAGCAAGCACCACCAACGTGACAGATGCACTGGCAGTGGTCATGAATGAATCACAAGGGTAAATTTGCTACAAAAATGCCTACTCCTCCTTCAGTTGGCTGAAAATAAGGATTCTGAGTAGACCATTTTGACATTATAGTACATGTCCACAATATCTTGGAACAGATTTAGCTCATTCTAATTTGCAACAGAGTAAGAAGCCAAAATCATGTATTCTGTCCTCAAATCATGTGATGAACTGGTGTATGAGTGAGGTCTGTTTTAGCTAGAAATCAAAGAGACAATTCCCTTCCCATGGATTATCAAGACTGGGATCAATAATGAAAGATGAGGGTGTTGAGGTAGGCAAAGAGGTGAGGTCAGCCTTCATGGGTGGCTCTGGCTTGGCAACAACCTCTTGGGTATCTAAACTAAAGGATCTGAAGAAGTTACTAGTGTATTTGTCATCACTTACAGTCAAGTCAACTATAGTAGCCAATTCAAAAAGGCTTTTGGAGTCTGATGCTGGCAGAATCTCATCGTCAGTTCCTATTAACACTAATTATAAAAGTTCAACATGAGTCTTGCTGACAATCAATAACAAAAACAATGTACTATATCTTGACAATATTTGATCTTGCAAGGAGGCTCTGATAAGCTTGACTCAGATGAGGTGGAACTGTCTTCTGAGTCACTGGATATACTCTCAGACTCAGTAAGATCATGATATGCTGAGCTAGATGGAAGAGTAGGCATCTTCTCCTTCCTTTTTGATTTTGCCTACTCTTGCAACACTGATGATGGAATGCTTTGGCAAGTGGCCAAGAAACAAGCTATTTGTAGTCTGTGTGAAGCAAAGAAACTGAGGACTCACCTAGAATGACAACATTTTCTTGAAATCCACCTCTCTTATTTGTCCTTGCATTTCATGCCACCAATGACCCATCAAGGAATTGAATACCAGGAGGAATTATGGTCCTGCACTTCTTTTTGACACAAAGATAGTATCTCATCTTCATGCTTCTGGTAATCTGGATTTGGCAACTTTGGCAAGGCATCAAGATAAACAAAGAGTTGTGCTATGTGCAACTGCCAGTCTCCTGATCACCAAGATCCAAAATGTCTGCCCGAGGCATTTGATATACTGACCTCTATAGGCAGTTACCAGTGTGCGACAATGAAGTTGTCCAACCTGGGGATCAAGATGGCATATTACAATCCAGGAGTGATGGTGAGTTATTCAGGCTGTCTTGTAAGGCATGGAATCAGGGTTGATGAAGGCGATCAGATAGCATGGTCCTGGTTCCTCCGAGATAGCATTCACAACTACACCTGCACCCCTCGCCCGGATTATGCCAGATACAATCTGGCTGACCTCGATGCATACAAGTTGGCCAAATACAACCAGGCTGATTTTGCCGTGTATGGCAAGCTGTAGACATCCTGTCCCACTTTTATTCTGCACATCATTACAATACCTTATCCTTATTTATCATTCCCTACATACAAACACACTCTCTTACCAAAGTATCTCATTTGAATACATTATCAGATCTTTAATATAATTTCTCCAAGAGGGGAAAATGTGAGCATCCCCTCACTGGGGTCCCAGGGTAAGTCATCAGCTTTGAATGTGTCACCTTGCAGCAGTCAAAGACAACCACACCCTTTGCCTGGTCATTGAACCATACCTAGGCCCAGGACCATCTGTCCATTCCTGCATTATCACATTGGACCTGGTAGTTGACCAATCCCATATCCGGGCCTGCCTGTCACATCCTACATTGTCACCCTGCACCTGGTCCTTGAATTGTACCTCCCTGGGCCCAGTCATCAAATCCTACATTGTCATGCTGGGCCAGGTCGTCGAATCATATGCATGCCCAGGCCCACCTGTCAAATCCAACATCACCACCCTGGGCCCGGGTCCTTGAATCATGCCCATGCCCGGGCCAGCATGTCAAATTCTATGTCGCCACCCTGGGCCTGATTGTTGAATCATACCCATGCCTGGGCCCACCCATCAAATCCTACATCATTGCCTTGGGCCTGGTCGTGTAAATCATACCTGTTCCCCTGGGCATAAGCACACCCAGGCCCGCCCGTCAAATGCTACACCATCACCTTGGGCCCGGTCATTAACCATCATTGGGCCTGCCCGTCACATCCTATATCATCACCCTGGGCCTGGTCATTCAACCATTTCCATTCCACATCCCTTGGGCCCAACTGTCAAATCCTACATCATCCTGGGCCCAACTGTCAAATCTTACATCATCCTGGGCCCGGCCATCAGATTCTACAGTGGCTCAAAAAAGTGTCTCAATGTTTGTGGATTTCCATGTAATTGCTGTATTATGAGTCAGGGCGTGGGAATATGACTAGGCCATAGGGAAGTGTGGGAAAGCTCTGCTTCCTAGCTTTATGTTTGGTCCCTATAGCGTGGGAACATTATGTTATTGAGTGAAGATGTGGTCATTTTAATATGGTGACTCATTGAGACACTTTTTTGACTTTCAGTTTAACCAACACAATCTCTATAATTCTAGTACTTGGTGTTTCCTCCTGTTGTTCTAATTGCTTCTATCACTCTTCTATTCACACTATCTATCAATTTCAGGCATTCCTCATCAAAAATCTTGCCCCACTCTGCTGCAACTCTCTCCTACAGCTGAAATAACCCCTATGGAGGATCTCAATAGACTGTAAGTGATAGCTTGAGTAATTCCCAGGGCTGTTCAATAGGGTTGAGGTCTGAAGACTGGGCTGGACATTATAGAACACTGATAAAATAGTTTTCAAACCATTTTATGATCAACTTGAAGTATGCTTAGGGTCATTGTCTTATTAGAGGGAAGTGTCTTCATTATTAATTCTTGATTCCTGCATGCTCCTGAGCAGACACTCCTCCAAAATTGAAATGTGCTGCTCTGAATTCATTCTCTCCTCCACCTCACAGAGAATTACTACTCTATTCCACCTCATACAAACCTATACCATCAAGTGTCCTACTCCATACTTTAATGTTTTCTTGACTTTTCTTTTTTCTAGTAGTTTTTCTGCCTTTTATCATACATATTCCTGGCCATATGACCCCATCCTATTGATTTTTGTCTCATCTGACCAGGTAACCCTATTCCAGTGCTCAACAATCCAATACTGAGGCTTTACAGCAAAGGCTAGTTTCCTCCCTCTATAGGCTGAAGACAGGAGAGGCTTTTTCTACTTGATTACAGCTTTAAGGTTGGCTACCTTAGGAGTATTCCTGACTATTTGAGTAAAGAGAGCAGTGTAGATGATGTAATTAATGAATTTGGTGCCTTGAGTAGCATTGGCAGCCTGCCTAGTTAGAATATGATAAACAAGAGATTTTTTGTTATGGGATGTGAGCTTGAAAGGACAATCTAGTTTGATATTTGTCTTATCTGGAATGACTTTTTTAATGACCATAATGAGAATAACCCTGCTCAGACCAGTTTTAGTAGCAATCTGCCTGGTATACAGATCAGAAGAGCTGAAGATAATAATAGAGGCTATTTCAGCTGTAGGAGAGAGTTGCAGCAGAGTGGGGCAAGATTTTTGATGAGGAATGCCTGAAATTGATAGATAGTGTGAATAGAAGAGTGATAGAAGCAATTAGAACAACAGGAGGAAACACCAAGTACTAGAATTATAGAGATTGTGTTGGTTAAACTGAAAGTCAAAAAAGTGTCTCAATGAGTCACCATATTAAAATGACCACATCTTCACTCAATAACATAATGTTCCCACGCTATAGGGACCAAACATAAAGCTAGGAAGCAGAGCTTTCCCACACTTCCCTATGGCCTAGTCATATTCCCACGCCCTGACTCATAATACAGCAATTACATGGAAATCCACAAATATTGAGACACTTTTTGAGCCACTGTACATCACCCTGGGCCCGGTCGTTGAATCCTACATCGCAATTTGGGCCTGGCCCACCACCATCACCAGCTCATCATCACATGCCCCTCAGGCCCAACATCCTGTCAGTTGCCACCCATGGGCTGGGCCATTCATATTGAAGCATCACAAACATCATGGGCCTGGCCATGCCTATTAGCCTACACTTGTCTCTGGGCCCACCTCAGGTAGCCCATCTCCCATGGAAGAATCTCAACCTTGGGTGGCCATTTAACACAGGAAAAGTTACTGAATGGGCTCCGTACATAGCCTTAGTCCTTTGTTTACTGATCCCCTTATATGTCCTCCAGTATATAAACCTCTGTACAACTCCTGTAGAGTTTCCTCAGTTCGAATATCATCTTAGACTTCACTCATTCTGCTTGTGGACTTCGGTCCATCTTAGTCTGACCTTTCCTTAGGCCTAGGGAGGGATTCTCTAGGCCGACTTTCCAGTCCTCCAGATTTATCCTTCTGTCTACATCCATGGTTAGGGATTGATTTTCTAAGCCGGAGTTTTACCTTTCCGGCACTCTAGCACTCTACTAGAGTAGCCAGCCTTTGGAAGTCCTTTAGACTTCATTGGACCATCATTGGACTTCATCCAAAATCAAGGGAACCATACTCAGGTCAGGGGCACAGCGTACAAGCTAAGGTCAACGTCCTTCAGATCCATCAACCCTTGAGCACAGTTTTAACAGAGATGCAGGTAGAAATACTTGAATGTAAGCATACTTGTTGAACTTTGTTTCAAGCAACATGGCTTTACAAGGAGGACATTTATGGTTCCTTGCACACTCACTGTACTTCAAATGGATTGCTTGCCACCCTTTCTGGCCCAGAGGGTGCTCATCTTTGACAAAGTCCAGGAGGACTTGAATGTCAGTTAGGCTGTAATCACCTCAACCTCACATAATCTTTACTTATTTAGAATGCCAGACTCCCAGGAGCACGCTATTCTACTTAGAGTAGATTGTTTACATGCCCTACACTGCCAATAACTAGCTCAATAGTGTTAGATATCTACAACTTGGAGAAATACTTGCATTGTGCTCACTGTCCTCAACGTTGAGCTCGAGTATCTCGCTCATTTCTTCACTAATTTTCCCCACAACTTTCTATATTGTCTTCTACATCAAACATGCTGCATTGACTTTACCTGCTGCACTGCTAAGCAGCCTACATTTACTCAAACCTTGAGGTAAGTACATTATGTTCTCCGTCTCTCTTTCCCTCACTCCCATGGCTCCTACCAGGACCAGAGGCCTATCTGGGCCTCAATGCTGAAGCTATGAGTTTGAAGCATACTCTAGCTTTGAGATTACACCAAGATACAACCAGTTGGAGGGCACAGTGGCAGCCAGGCCTTGATGCTGAAGCTATGAGTTCGAAGCATACTCTGGCTTTGAGATTATGCCAAGACACAACCAGTCAGAGCAGATCTGGCATGCCACATGCTTATAGAGCTACACCTCCAAAGGGAAACCCAAGTATACGGTCTTCCCAGTTCCGGTCCCCTGGACTATAAATGCACTATGCTCAAACGCAAGGCAAGTATCAATGATTTTAGTAGGTTGTATGTAACAATGTAACAATACAGGAGGGGAATGAGGAAGCTATGATGTGTTAGCCAGGGACAGTACCTTACGCAGAGTCAATGGACTCAGCAGAGACAGAGGGAGATGTGGAAGGAGCTGCAGGAGTAGCAGCACTCATGCCTTTCCTTGGACCACACCTCTTGCCCTTATCAGAGCGCTCTTTGCGGGCTTTTTTCTGAACCACAACTTCCTCCCCTGAGACAGAGAAGACCCCAGTCAGCTCTACTGCCAGCCGTTTCCTGTCTTGCAGTGTTAGTGAAGGGGGCTGATTAACTGTGGCAGGTGTAGGTGTAGGTGAACTGTTGGTCTCCATAGCTAAGTCAGATGACTTAGAGTTAGGAAGCAGTGCTGTGTCAGATGACTGAGAGTTAGGAAGTGGCGCTGTGTCATTTGTCAAGGGATCTACACTAGTATTGCCAGACATTTGAGCCATAGTGGCATTAAACCTGCTAGTCTCCTAATCTTTGAACTCTGCATCTGAAAGCTGACGGAATTGAGTAGAATCAGTCTCCCGAGCATAGAACAAGACACAGAGCCTGTTGTGTGAATTGATGTCCCCTGGACAGCAGAATTTTGAATGTGGCCAGTTTTCAAGGACCACACCATACTTCGCAGTTATTTTGGTGTTGAAGTTTCTGTAGTACATGTGCTGGACCTGTTTGTGTTAAGATGGGAATGAAGTGGGCCGCTTCTAGTGGCTAATAAGTGACCAGATATGATCAGGACTAGAGTCCAGAGTAAGTTGCCAATGTATTGAAGTATAGTAAGAGTGTATAGTACCTAGAGTCCAGAGTAAGTTGTTAAAGAGGCAGGAAGCACTGGACTCTAGGATATGGGCAATGTTTGGTAAACAAATGCAAACAGATAAGCCACAATTCAAAGGTAAGGAATAACTCGTCCTAGGGAGGTCAGAAAGTCATGTAAATAGTCAGAGAAATGTGAAGAATAAAGTATATCCAATTTCCACTTCAGTTCATTTCACAGCAACTCAGCCTGGAAGTAGACTTGGCTTGGTCACAAGCAGGTAATTAATTGTATTCCATTAAATTTATTTGACCTCCTGACATATTTTTCTGTTAAGTACAAAGTAGATGCAGGATTTGCCAGTGTAACTCTGAGTCAAACACTTAATTCCGAGGGTAGTGTCCAATTCCTTGAACTTACTAGAATTATCATGATATTACTCTTTCAACATACTACTGGCAGTAATACTGGCCTCTCAATAGTGTGCAGTCTACCATTTTTAAAATCCTAACAAGTTGATGTCAGTGTGGAACTAACACTAAGGTCTTATTTAGTGGGTTATACAACCAAGCATGACCTTCTTCAGACCATGGGAGAATCCCACTATTGGTGTCTGTGTGCATCTAGAAGAATGGTATAGACCAAGTTGCAGGCAAAGATCATCCATGGAGCACTCAGCATATTCATTCCTCAATGTCACTCCTCCAGTCTGTCAGAGGGATTATTTCTTCAAAGTTGAGCTGCACCTCATTGCCCAAGGTCATTATGTCCAATACAGCCTGAATTATGGTGTCCAGTTCTCTGATCTTGGCCTCTGTGGCAAGTTTTCCTAGTGTGCCTCACAGTACTTTAGGAAGCCCTGAAATGCACAAAATGAGTATCATGAGATATACATAGGTACCCTAATATGACAAGCCCTTACTCTTGACATCTCCAGTCACACCAGGATTCTGTGCAGCAGCTGCAAGCATTGTTTTGAGGATCCTACACCACTTATTCATTTTTTGAAGGGATTCATTATCCTTGAATAAACTGAGAATTTCTATGAATAATGTCAATAGTTGGATACTATGTCTGGTCATGCCACAGCCTGTCATTCCACTGGTCTTCCATATCCTTGGCCTTTCTTTTAGGTCAGATTTTTATTGTTTCAGTGTTTTTTGGTACCAATTCCAAGTGAGTACAATAAGTGTAGAAATTAATGATACAATTGCCATATTCAAAAAGTTGCTGGAGGCAAATGCCAGTTTCATTGATACTGCTGCCTCAATTTTGTGCTTCTTGCATCAGAAGCTGGCAGGAATAATACCAGCTAAACAGTTACTATGTGTACTTGTGACATGATGTTCTCTTACCTGTGTTGAATGTGCAATTGCATGTTGAGCCAGTACTGCAATGGGCTGCAGCCTTCCTGGTCAAACACTTGGTTGATAATTCTATTAACCTTGTCCATTGTAAACTACTGCACTTTAATCCACATATAGGAAACTGCATGGGTATGGGTCTGAGGAAGATCTGTTTCAATCTTGTAGGTCATGTTTCACCCTATGAAAGTCTGTTTCAACTTTGTCATGTTCTCATGTCTCCCTTCCTGAGAAAGAGAGAGTCTGTCTTAAAATATATGAAGCCTAGTTAGAAAGTTGTTCTGGTGTTGTATACTCAACCTCTGAAAGGTAGCACACAATAAGTAATGAAGTCTGTCTTAAATATGTAAAGCCTAGTACAAAAGCTGTTCTGGTGTTGTATACTCAGTCCCTGAGAGGTAGCATACAACAAGTAGTATATAAATAGATTGTTATATAAGCAATCCTCTCTGATATGATGTTTATCTTACTTCAACGCACTCGTGGCCTACACTTTAAATCTTACAGACTCTTACGGTTTGAGAGAAGAGTGAAAGTGGGAAGCTATTATTACTCAGTGTAGAATGGACTTCTTTTATGCCTTTTTTGGAGGCCATTTTACTAAGTATGACTCATCACAGCATTAGTAAATCACTGGCTTACTAACCATGTCATTGAGCAGCACTGAATCTGCTGCTTACAAAGTAGTTTATATATAGAGTTCATAATATTACAAGCAGATATATCATGATGAAGCATGGATTGAAGCATGACGAAGCAAGACCAATCTGACAAATCCTTACCAAAGCAGGACTATTGCCTATCACATGACATGCTTACTCACATATCTTGGTGGCTCACTGGTGGCTGAATAAGCCACAGAAAAGAAATGAAAAGAAAAGGGGAAAGATGAAAACATTCATGACTGGAAATCTAAATACAAGTAAATCTGTCAAAATGGAACCAATCATATTAATTACAATCGAAGTACACACTTAGTTGTACTCCCTGTAGTTTACTTCCGTGTAGTTACCTTCCTGTGTAGTTTACTTTCTGTCTATCAATATCATGGTATAAGTTCCATACCATGCATTGCTCACTTGCACCATGGGGTTTTAACTGGCACCATTCACACACCAATTATATCACAATTCTTTCTGTTGTTCCTACTTACTATCAATTGCCCATGTCTGCACAAGTTGATGATCTTGAAGAACAGTGCTGGTGACACTGTACTAATACAGGTATGTTTTTATTTATATATTTACACTGCTTATTTTTAATTTCTTGCACTTGACTTCAAGTTCATTCATCTGGGCTTATCTATACTCATTTGAACTTGCTTTTATTCATTTTTACTCTCCTGTACTCACCTGTACTCATTTGGGCTTGTCTGCATTCATTTTTGCTCACCTGGACTTGCCTTCACTCGAACTTCTTTGCAATGAGCCAATAGTTCTTTTACAGCCTTCACTTGAGCCACTGTCCATTTGTCAACATGTTTTGCTCTTGCCTCTCATTCAGCAACACAATTATAGTCCTATGGCTCACCAGCAATGCCAATTAGAGACTGCTATGTAGAATTTAGCCAGGGCAGAGAAGGTTTTTCAACCTATAACATAATGAGTGCAAGCTGTATAAAAGAACTTGTCATGACTCAAGCTGAATGCCTAGATACTAGAGTGGTACATCCGGGTATTGGGCATGACCATGCCAATAATGCTGGTGTCAACATCATGCATCTAAACATCTTCCATATTATCATTGACATGGACCCTGAGGGTCCTGCTGAAACATTACCAATTCTTCCTTATCTTGCTGTGCCTTCTCGTAAGCTATCATTTTGGGCAATTTGAAAATTATGCCTTAGAGTGTGCAGCATTGGCATTCAAAACTCTTTGAAGATAGTTGAAATATATAAGAGTACCTTCTAGGTATCTATTGCATTGAGATTTATCAAAAATTATACAGTGTAGCACCTCTGGTGAGTGAAATTGATGTTGGCATTCAGATGAGATAACAACTTCAGATATCAGCTAGTCACAAAGCATAGTGTTTTATAAGGTTTATATGTCTGATTCTGACTAAGCACACATATGATTCATGTGGCAGTACTAGCTGCTTAAAGTACTTGTTTACTGTTTTCACTATACAACACCAACAACAGTGTATTTTTGAAAAACAACTTACAGAGATTATTCATACAAGTATATCTAATGTTGTCAAGATACTTAGATAACAATACAAGAAGTTATTGCATATTACAAAGCAAATTTGTATTGTTGTGATTTATTTGGTGGTATATCATAGTAGAAGGTAGAATTGAAGTCATGCTAACCTATTGAGATGCAGTGCCCCCCTGCTGCCATATAGCTGTAGCATGCACTCCCTCTCATACCCATACATTTCATGTCTCTTAAGATGCAGGAGTCACATATTGGGAAATTAGGTGTTGGACAGGGAGGTTAAGTAGAAATCATCTGGCCTTTGTCTGTAGGAACATGTTGTGAAAATTGCTATACAGAGTATGTAGGCATAGTTGGAAGTTTGAACTTGAGAAGTTGTTTTTTCCTTTTTATACTAGCTAAGGAATGAAGTCTGATGTCATATCTAATCCCCCATTACAGCATAGACAAATACCTCATCCAAAAAATCACTAGCTGAACAAATTTGCTTACAGACTGGATCACATTTTGTCTCTGCAAAGTGACCACTCCCTTGTTGATCACAATAAGTTAACCAATGGGACCCATTGGCTGTCACAACTTACCCTGGCACCTGCCTGTGTTTGGAGGTTTTTGATCAGAAGAATTGTGCAGCCTTTCACCAAATCCCTCATTTCACTTTCTTGCTTTAGGCCATTTGAAGTCACAAACATGCCATGCACATCTGTGGTTATGTGCAGATGATATCTGGAACAGCAAGGAAATTGTCTCTAGCATCATGCAGGCCACTGGAAAGGAACACAGTCCATATGCTTGATCTATTTTACTCATACCTGTATAAGAAATTTGAGTGTTTGCAATTGTGGTAGATAACCTTCAATCTGCTTTAAAGGAAAAATGTAACTAGAGGATGCCACCTACTGGTGATAGTAGGCATGTATCCTTAGTATAGGCTCTATATAGCATTGGTATGGCCATAAAGTCCCTGATACTCTATGACTTCTTGATACACAACACCTCTCACTCACTTGTAATACACTGTTTATTCCAATACTAATGCCATATCTTTCTCTGGCATGGCTTGCATATGAAGATGGGTGCTAAAACAGTTAACTTACCTGAAGTTTGTTTTAACTGCTGCTAACCATCCAATAGTGCAAAAAACATTTTCATACAAATCTGGGCTTACCAGAAATATATATTAAAGCTGGAAAGATTGAGAATTACATGTGTGATGTCCACATTGCATATATGATTTGTCATGGTACTCTTTTTGCATGGAAGAGAGCTGTGTGGAATAATGAACAATGAATGATGAATTCAATGATGCTTTGCTGTGTTATTGCTATAGAGATGTCATGTGATTGTGTAGAAAATATTAATGTAGAAACCAATGATAGAATAGATGCAGTCTATATAATAATGATCTTTGCTTTCCATGATGAGATGATAGTGTGATAATGCAAAGATACATCAATGGAGTTAAAGGCAAGATAGAAAACATCATGGAAACATTGCCAGATCTTTAAGAGTCAAAACATATAGATCATGATAGCAAATTGAGTAGGAAAGTGGATATAGTGGTATAATAGAGATGTATTAACTTCCATTTGGTCATTTGCAATCTCTGTGAGGAGGTGGATCATGGGATTGACTTGCCTATTATGGCTATGGTAGTGAGCAGCAGATTGGAAATGAATAAAATGATTGATTCAATGAAAAATATTAAAAGAGAACATAAAGAAGTCTGGATGAATAGTGAGACTATTTGATAAAGAGCAGAAGAATGATGAGTGTTGAACATTAAATAGTGAAACAATGACAGATATAGAATGTGTTAGATTGCTAAGGAAATGGAGCAAGAGTTTCTATATTTGGAGGAGTTAATATAAGATGTACTTCAGAAATGTACATAGTAGAAAAAGGACAAACCTTAAGATGGAGAAGTTGGAGAGGGATTTTGAGAAATGATTAAGTTGAACTTATTTTGATCAGTTAGAATGTTTAGAAGGGATATGAGATGT